TGGTTGGAAAGCGGGGTTGTTTCAGGGGTCCCCTACCCCGTTTCATAGATAATCAAAGAGGGAGCATTACAATCTCTTATAGGCAGTGCCTATACTATCATCATACACAATTTTCCTAATATCCTCTAAAAAGGAGATAATTATAATATCAACAATATCTGCTGTAGGAATTTGTACATCTAATGCATCAGCTAGCTTGTTTGTCTCCCTGTAAGAGTGAGTGATCTGGAAGTAATGGGACTTGGATATCAGGATTTGTATTCTTCTCTTCATATGCTTTGTTTCCCATGGAACTGATTTGTTCTTGATGAATGCGACCTGATAAGCGCTCAAAAGTGTAAATATATCCCCTTTATTCATGTATATTTGTCTCAAGTGAAAATCAAAAAATTTTCGGATTTCAGTGAAGCTCGTGCCACGCGAGCTGCCAGGCAGTCTCAACTCGCGCGGGGCAAGAAGATCAGAAGGTTCAAATTTTTTTGGATTTTCCGAAAACTTTGAAAATTTCAGAATATTAAGTTTTTGGACCAAGGTACGTATTTCAAACAGTTTTAAGGTATTTACATTCTGTATATTGCCATTTTGAATATTATTTGCTCGTTTGCGCGTGTTCGAGGGAAATAGGTACGTGTACTTTTAACACCTCGAATCTCACGTAAGAGGTTTAATTTTCAATAATTAGAAGTGCGAAGTGTTTGCTTTGTGTACTAAGCTTAGTTCTGATAGTAAGTTGGTAAAGGGTACGCAACAAAAGACCCGATACCAACACCTTAGTATATGCTTTTACGCTCTGGTATTAGGTATACTGCTTTGGTTCGATCTTGATAATAGTCCTCTAGGCTTAGCAAATAGTGCTTTTGAATTAGATTCCGATAGTAGCAACTTGATCCATCCTGTTGAAATGGCCAACCCCGAAAGGCCACTTCGTGATCTTTTTGCTCCCTTATCTACCGGACATCCTAATTGCATCGTTCTGCCTGCGCTTGAAGATGAAGCGGATTTTAAACTTCACTATGGTATCATTAACATGCTTCCGAAGTTCTCTGGTCATGAGCGAGAAGACCTTTATACTCACTTACATCAATTCGTCCAAATATGCTCAATTCTTAATGAAACTAGACTTGGCGTTGATGGTATTCATCTAAGGCTTTTCTCGTTCTCTCTGAATGACAAAGCGTCTCAATGGTTACACTCGTTAGCCGGAAACTCAATCCGCACTTGGGATCAGTTGAACACAAAATTCCTTACTAAGTTCTATCCCATGTCACGGACAATAGAGTTGAGAAACAAGATCCAAAGTTTTAGACAAAAGCATACGGAGGAATTCTTCGAAGCTTGGGAAAGATTTGGGGAGTTGCAGATACAATGTCCACATCATCAAATCCCGATGGAGACATTAGTTCAGTGCTTTTACAATGGTCTAAACCCTATGACTCGTGCATTAGTAGAATCTATGAATGAAGGGCAATTCCTTAGTAAAACCGCAACACAAGCTAATGATTTCTTTATAAGACTTGCTGAAAATTTTCAACATTGGGGAAACTCACCTAATCCTATCCCTGGAGTCTATCAAGTTAAACCTACGGCTAAAATGGAACAAGAAGAAGAAGTAAAAACTTTAATTCAAAACCTAGCAAAGAAAGTTGAGGCTCTCTCCTTACAAAGTAACCAACCAAACACCGTCATGAACGTTAATGAAATATGACAAGTTTGTAATGGGAATGATTACAATGAAGAAAATTACCCACACATTCCTTATGAACAAGAACAAGTTAACGGTATTTGGGACACTAGAAACAATGCTCCACTTCAAGGT